AGAAGTTCCAGTGACCAGAGGAGGGCCTAGAAAGAAAATCAACGCGGCTGATCTTTGCATCTTGGTGAAAGATCGCCGGATCGAACCGTCACCTCATGTCCGGTGGCTAGGAGTCTGGCTTGATACCCAGCTAAAATTCAAGCAACATGTACAGGAATGGACTGGAAAAGCTAATCGTCTAGTCCATTTCTTACCACAAATAAACGGAGTTCAACGTGGTGCAGCACCCGGACCTCTGATTTGTGCAGTACATGCATGCGCTCTGAGCGCAGCTCTATACGGGGCAGAAGCATGGTGGCCAGGTCTCACTCAAATAACCACACTGGAAGATAAAGAAGTCGGCACTGGAGTAGGCTGGCATATATCTCTACTGGGAAAAACGATAATGAAAGCTATCAGAGTAGCACTCTCAGCGTGGCGTACCACTCCCAATAGCGCACTCCATAGTGAAGCGGGGATACCCCCGGCATCGATAATTCTTCAGCAAAAGATGCTGCAGTCTGCGGCTCGTATGCGAAGAATGGATGCCTGGCACCCTCTAGCCATTTGGGCGGCTGAGGATCCGAAAGAGACAATAAGACGCTTAGGTCTTAGATTAGGACAAAGAAATCGTTTGTTCAGACAACCATAACGGTACATGATACGCCTACAAATGAGTGTGCGTCGAGTTCCGACAGCCGAAGGCCCTGGAAAGCTATACTTCCCATGTGGCTCCCCAGTATCAATTCCATGTAGTCGAGAAAATGAAGCTAGGTCTGGAAGCATAAAGCGGTGGTTAGCTTCCCTTCCAGCTAACAAAGTCTTCGCTTTCTCTGATGGATCATCATCTGGTCCTGGAAAATCAGCCTTTTGGTATGTAGTATACCAAGGAGGCAAGCTAGTTGCAAGTGGCTCCGGTCCACTTCCCGGAGTAGAGGTATTTGACGCAGAAGTTGCGGGTGCCATGAAAGCCTTGAAGGCTGCAATAGAGGTAGGAAAAGACTTACTGATCTTCATTCTTCTGGATAACCAAGCGGCCACCCAGGCGCTCGAAAAAGGAAGATCTAACTCCTCGCAGTCAGTGGTGGACAAGTTTTCATCGCTGAGACACAATAAGCGTGTGGAAATACGCTGGATACCCGGGCATGTGGGGATTCAAGGCAATGAAGAGGCCGATAAGCTGGCCAAATCAGCCTTGGGAGCTCCCAATAACCGGTCACTAACCTCAGCTGCGCCCAGTGGAGAAGATCAAGATCTAACCTTTGCAGCATTAGGGAGGTGGGTTAAACAGCGCAGCTAAGAGCTTGTGGAAGAATGGTGGCAGAAGTATCGACCGAAACAATACAAAGATCTGGACCTATTCATGCGTTGCAAAAGACCACCAGAACTAGCTTTACCAAGATGGGCGTACCATCGTCTTATTGCGGCAAGAACAGGCCACGGTGACTATGCCAACTATCATAGACGTTTCAACCCCGAACATGAATATCTAAAGTGCGTTTGCGGCCCAGAGAAAAGTCCCTGGCATTTTTCAGAGTGCCGACCTGCTTTGAAATGTTGGAGAAGCTGTGAGAAAATGGCCCACTTGGGGCTAAGGAAATGATAGGGGAGAAGGGATGGCAGAAGTTCATTCAATTCTTAACTACAAACAGATGTTACAGTCTGCCGAAGAATAACAGGGTGGGAGGTGACCACACTGAGATTGCTTCTAACCCGAGAGGAGATGGGTGTGGAAGATAGAGATGCGGCGCAGGGCACCGTAACTCAAACATTTACTGTTCCTTTTTATTTCCTTCTTTTCTTTTGTCGCTTCTGGCTTCACTGCCGATCATGTAGGCAGCAATGAACTCTCAGAGCCCATCTATCAGGGTCACGTATAAATAGATGTTAGGTTCTTCCTGTCACATAAAAGATTTCAAATTCAAACTTAGATTCTATGACTATGGACTGCTAAAATCAGATAAAATGCTACCAAAATTTACTCATTTTAATATGGAGCTTATTTTCAATTATTTTCAATAGAAACTGAGGGTCTTGCCCTAAGTTGTTATTCCATTTATCCCTCCTTTTTCTTCAATGTTCATCAAATGAAATCATCCATGCAGTGTCTCCAACTTTCACCCTCTCCAAATACCACCTCCTTGTTGATATATCTGTGTTAAATATTTATACGACAGTGGAATTAATAGTATACTTCGTACCAGCTATTAATTCAGCTGCACATGGATACTTATTCTCGAAATAAGTTTCTTTGCAATAAGACTGTATAAATAATTATATTATTGTTATCTTTCATTCATTCATTCATTCATTTCTCTAGTTTAACTTCCTATGCAGTATCTATATACAGATCCATGAAGACGGTAAGCCGCTTTGGTAAGGGAAAAATCTTTCAACTTACAAAATCTGATATCCTGCCCCTCTGAACTGACCTGGCTTAATGCTGAGGACGTTCCTTTTAACCACAAATTTTTATAAACTTTCCTCGAAATTCATTAACTCCCCCTTCAAGCAGACTAACTTTATGAGAAATTAAATAGAGAAGGCACCTCCTCACTTGGCGTTAGTCCTCGAAGTATCCGAAGAGTTGGCTCCAATGGTGGTACTGCTATTGTCAGGATAGTTGGTGCCACTGAGGCTTCGACTACCTTACGTGGCTGTCCCGGCCATCTTTTGAATCCTTCAGCTTTTTTACTGGTGACCAAAGTGAATCCCTGATCATCAGTTGGTCCGACTGTTCGTGTTGGCACCACTGTAGGTTTTTCGTTCCATATTTCCGCTGTTCTCGATAGTAGCTCCATCCGAGCCTTCTCCACACTTCCCTTGTAGACTTGGTAGGTCTGAAACGCTGCTTTTTGCCATGAACGGTGTTCTTTGCCGCAGTTTGCATAAGAAACCCTTTTATTCGGACAGTCCCGAGTTTGGTGAACGCCTGCGCACTCACCACACTTAGCTACCTTTCCACACAACGCCTGCATGTGTCCCCACTGGCTGCAGTTATAACACTGCTTTGGCTGGGCCCGTGGTGACCACGCCTGCGCGGTGAAGAGCCTGGCGTTAATTACAAGGCTGTTTCGGACCACTTCCGTCTGCATTGCCTCCGATGGGAGGCTTACCACTATTGTTCCGCGAGTGCGACCGTTATTTTTCGATCGCTGATGTTCCTTTCCGTTGTTGAGCCATCGTATTCTACTTATCACTAGGCCTAAAATACGTGCCTTCGTTGCCGACTCAATCTCCCTGATAATGGCGTAGTTTTTGGCATCTCTGCCACCTTCAATTCTTGTCCGCAGTGTGACTCCGGATACCTCGACTGTAAAGTCTTACCATAAGATTTTAAATTCTGTTGGTGGTTGCATGTTTGGCGCCGCGTCTCTCTGGGACGTCGACTGGACAAACACCTCGGTCTCGTTGCTCCGCATCTGCCGAATTGCAGATGCGCCTTGGATTTGTTGTACTTTGGAAAGTAGCTGTTGGCTGCAGGTTTTAACCGCCGTCGATTCTTATTCGTACCGCCGTTTTCGTCATTTGCGGAGCCACGACCGAAGTCACTGCTGGAGCAGCTTTTGGAGCAGGATCTATGAGGCTCTTCTTCACAACTTCCTCTAACGTTATCATCCTCTCCTCGATTGAAGACGTCCTCTGGGACATTTTAGTCCAGGCCCTTTTGTGAGCATTGAATTCCTTCGCGGCTTCGTTGACATACTCCATAGATAGTAGGTCCTCCTCGTCCATCTCTCCAATCACGATTAGTCTGATCTGTTTGAATGGTTTCCCAGTATTCCTAAATTCTTATCTTATGGAGCCGTTTGCGCTCCGCTCCTGTTGTTGTTGGTGGCCATTGTCGCTTTTTGCGACGCGTCGAAACCGCTGGATTTACCCTCACTAGCACCCACACTCGCCATGTTAGAGGACGGGAAGCGAAATGATGGAGCGAGGTTAATGAAGATGAATAAATTATAATCACGATATCAACTTGATGATAAAGGTAGCGTGAAACGTCGCGCATATTTTAGGCAAAAATGATGTTCTCTTCTGGTGCCATAACTATTGATGATAAACAAATTCAGCAGAAATCTTAGAATCAACTCTATTACCAATCTACCCCTTTATTCGACAATCAACTTTCATCATTGGAATAACCCCGTGGTATCACACAACAAATCAAGATGAGCAATACAGCTCAAGTTTAGAAATTTAATCACTCTAGGATATCTATTCAACCTCAAATTTCTATGAATCTTCCAACGGATCTGTAACGTATCACAAGTGTGAGTTCTTACTCACGATCTTAATAATTTGATAACTTCCCAATACTACTTATACTGAAATTTCATCAAATTCGAGCGCAAATTGTAGCAAATTATTCTAAAAGTGCGCTAATGTTTTGAACGAGAGACCTGACTTGGTGGAGGTCGCATTTAGCAAAGACCATTGTTTTTAACGTTCACAGGCTTAGCACAATCGGCCCGGACAAGCATGTAGAATCCTAATTTTTACACGAATCGAGCTTATTTTATTCTCATTTTTGTTAAATCATTCTTAAATCGTTTGGAAAACCACAAAGCTAACTGATTTATCGAAATTGGTAGACAAGACCGGTATTTAAATTTAGATTTAGATTTTTACTGTAGTCCTCACCGAGTTAATGACTCTGGAGGACTTCTAGAATCTATATTAGATACTAGCTACATTTTTAAATTCAAATTGAATGGTTTCTGACTTTGCTCTCATATACAGTGAGGGAGACAAGGCCGAGAGTTTGAGTATATTTTCTACAACTACGTTTTCGTCAAGGTGCAAGGTTCATGACTTAGATTCATTAGGCTCTGGCTTTAAATCAATTGTAATAAATTCAACCGTTTATCTTGGATATAGAGTCACGTTTACGATTGTTATCTTGAGGATCGGTCATGGTTTTTTTGTTGACCAGCTTTAGCCCATAGTGTTTCCAACGACTTAGGGCAGGGCCATCGTTTACTTTCGTAAATATTCTAAATATTTTGGTAAATTTTACCGCCCTAGTGGAGTCTTCGCTCGTTATTTTCTCGGCTGTTGACAAAGTCTGGATAGTTCAGTGTCAGCTCAACAGCACCGTGAACAATATGATCAGCAACTTCGACTCCAAGCATGAAAGAGTGATCCTGGTAATATTAGCACTTAGAAATATAAGTCTTGGTTTAGCCATCTTACTTGGTTTCCGACTTCATATCGCCAGCTGCCAAACCTCCCCCGGGAATAGATATCTTTTGCTTGAAGTTTTGGGAAGAGCTGATTGAGAATACCTTCACGTTCAAGTGTAGGTGTAGGGTATCCATGGTCAAACTTGCGGTGGTATGTTGAGACAATCTCATCTTGGGGCTTAATCATCTCAGTGTTGATAAGACCTTGAATCGAGTCTTTAAGAAGGTTTTCATTGTCTACTAATTTCATCGTAGACTCTGATATTTCTAACATTATCGACCAATATGGACCTTCCTGAGGGTCATCTGTTTCAGGTTTACTGCCGTCAGCAAGATATATTGTCTTCAGCTTCGTGGATTTATCGGGTTGATTGTAGGGTGAATAATTAGAAAATATAGTTGCACGGTAAAATGGACAATTATCCTCTGGAAAGTATAACTAAATTTAATTTAGTTCGGTGCATTTAATTTCTCAAGCTTACTTACCCAGCACTTATCTCCAATGTTTTCCGGACGAGCCCCTCTGATACCAACTCCAACTACGTGAGTCGTCGAGTAGTATAATCCCTTGCTTAGGCTGATTAAATCTTCGTCTTCTATGTAGCCAGCAAGGTGGTCAACTGCCATGGAAGAAATAAGCTTTTTGTATTTGATGGTTTTCCCATCCTTTAGTCTAACGAGATGAGCATCAGCATCTACTTTGACGACCTCGCTATTCTTTCCGAAGAGTGTCTTTTCCTTGGGTAAAGTTTTAGCGACCGCAATCCATATACCACCCGTACCATCACGAGCAGGGAATCGAAATGTCGCATTGGGACCCCAGTTACCGGCTGTCTTATTTAATATAACATTCCTAACACACGTTTTGACATCAGGGGCAGCAACACGTTCTCCAAGCCATGCACATTGCATCTAGCAAGTAAGATTAGTTATACTCAGTGAAAAAGATGTAAGTGCTCGCACTTTTGTTGTGGGGACTGCCCAAACTTTGTAATTGTATGGTCGCATAAAAATATCGGCAATTCCAGTTCCCATCATTCGTACTATCCATTCATCGAAGTTTGCAGGTTTGTTGGATATTGTACGCGCAGCGAGAGCAGCTTCAATCATTCCGTCTATACATTTTACTTGCTCTTCTTTTGGCAGCATTGAGACGTTGTTTTGGAACGGATATGGAACCCAGCAGCCCCTGCAGCGTACATAGGATATTCGCTGGTGAGTAAACCAATCTTCATCTTTGGGCAGTGCTTCATTGATGCAGTCGTCAAAGTACTTGTAGTGAGAGAATATTACGTGGCCACCAACATCGTAAAGCTGATCGCGATTGTTTAGTAATATCTTAATGCGGCAGCCTTAAATCTAGACTCACAAATCCTTCAGGTGTCGTATCGGTAGAAGCAAGGCCACCTGGCTTTTCGTTGGAATCGATAATCATCCACGAGGGTCCATCCTAAGTATATTAACATTTTACTGAAGACGAAATCACAATTGTCTCACGACTTGGTTTAATCTTTTGGCTGCCCCGAGACCGGTAGGCCCAGCGCCTATGACAAGAACATCTACATTGCTGATAAGCATATAGTTAGCGAAAGTCGAGTCAATGGCGGTGTAGAATTTAAAGGTCAGCATGCATACAAATCGGCCATGTTTAAGTATAATCTCGAGTTGTGTGGGGAAACTGAAGTTCAGCAATGACACCCTTTCCGGTGAAGCTGATTGATAAGGAGTCGAGAGCAGATAACAGACGGGCAGAAGTATGTCTCGTAGACATGGAGAACGCAACAATAACGGGAACATAATTATAGCTGGGGCCTAGCGCAGCTTAAGATCAGCGCATCCCTGTCTATGATGCTAATCGGCTTTCCGCATATCTGTCTTAGCCGTCTTGTGTGTAATAATGGCATAATTAATTTGATCTGCTAGTATTATCGAGCCTCTCAGGATGTGGCTATGATTGAGCAATACGCAAATAGAACTAATGCTAGACATACGGGTATCCCGATTTGGAAAAGCCGGCCCTATGGTGAGTCTCTCGCACTGACTCCACCCGCATCTAGCTCTGCCAATGTCTTAATCCAAGCGATGTACCTTGTAAAACTCCACTAAATTGTCCAATTCCTTTTCAAAATTATCATTTATTAATTCATTTTATTGTCCTGTCTAAGTCTGTGAAAATGTAGGACATTACTTTTTATAATGATACTACACGGATAATTGTGTGTTGTTTATCATACTCTTTGAGTCTATGACAATCTAGCACACTGGGCTCTTTGATTCAGTCCACAACTTGTACATACTATACGGATGAAATAACTCAGGACCCGAGAAAAGAGCTCATCTGGAGGACGAAGGCTAAATACCTGTCGGTGGTGTCCTCTACGAACCTGGGAGTGAAAGATTCTCCCAGAGCCGAGATTCAGTCACGAAAAAGGGTGGAATGAATTTTATTCGATGGATTTTCGGCTTGAAGGAGTTGCACTCGATATTTTGGTCAAAAAATCACTCGGCAGAGATTTCACAACCGCAAGAGAGTCGAACCAAAACCCATCACCACCAACGTACGATTCACGAATGGATTTAGGTCTGTCTGGGGGTCATATTCAAACATCAGATATCTCTGAAACTCCTTGTATATTTGCGACAAAGCATTTCTCAGTCGATCCTATACCTGCGACCCACTTCCATTTTTGTCCGATCACATGCCTACACACGCTCTAATGAGGAAAGTCATGATGGAAACGGGACGTGTACAAAGGAGGAAGAAGAGGGAAGATACACTGCGGGGATTGCACAAACCCCCAATGACGACAACAGCCCAATGGTACGATATGAAGGTGTAAGGCTAGAGCAACGATGAGATCTTGGAAGGCATTTATATTTTGGAGTCAATGAGGATGTCAAGGGCTGGAGCGCGTGGTGGCCGAGGCTGAGGAGAAATTTGCGCTATGGCGTATATGCAGTGAGCTTCTTGACGGTCAGGCTCAGTATGATTCAACACATGAGTGAAGTCTGAGATGGTTTGGCCATTTAGGTGGGTCGAGGTATACCTGTAATTCACGGTAGTTGACCTGATCCGGCCCGACCCCACCCGTGCTTAAGCTCCAGTAGGAGTGCAACAGTAGCCACTTAACATAGCACGTTAATGAACAAAAAAAAGAGAGCCCGTCTAATAACTTATTTCTCTAATTACAACTCCGATTTATTTAATATCTACTTAAGCTACCTAATTTTGCTCACACATTCACTTGGCTAAACACTTGAGTAAATAAATCTTAAAAAGGACAAAACTCGTAGACCTTTCAATATCCCAAATGCGTCTGAGTAGTGGTTTTAATCTTAGTCATAAAAACCTTGCTCCTTAGTCTTCCAATTGACCTCCAAACCTTTATATTCCACAGTTAACAACCATTAAACACTAGACAAAGCGAACGCAAACCATCTATTAATGGTACTTTTTATGAACCTCAAAGAAATTTATTCTCTCAGAGTCAAGCTTAGGCCAAATTTCCTATTATGAAAGACACTGACCGACACAATAATGATTCTATACTTCCGATCATATAAATTTCTTACCCCTATGAAGTCTAGGTTCAATCTAAAGTTTATAAAGTCTACAAATATGACCCAGATTATCAACTTTTGAATCTCCGCACTTGTCAAGCTAATTCCTAACTTTTAAATACTAACCCTCAAAGATATGGATATTTGCACGATAACTAAATCATGGTGCACAGATTTTATGGTATGGAACTCTAATAAGGATATGAGAATTAGCAAGGAAGATGAACGAGGTGAAACTAAAGATGGATACATTCTTACAAAGTGGCTCGCACAATTGTTGGTTGAGTGGAAAATTCTTAAACAATTGTGTGAGCCACGACTTTATTTGCAACAATGCTGGTGAGCTAGTAAAATTAGCTCAAGACAGGATTTTGGCATAGCATCTACAATTGACATCCCAAATCTAGGCTAGGATTTCCTATACACCCACTCTGTTATTTTATGAGGCCTGAGAGATAAGACTTCTAGCGGTGATGGGGAACAAAAATGTTCTAAAGCTAGTGGCATAATTCAAGGCTGTCCTTGCCTATATCTCGGTTAATTATTAACTATTTGGGAAAATGGTGGATACCACTTGCTTAATTCGAGTGATACTGGCGAATCTATGCGTAGTGAGGGTACCGTGTCAATATTTAACTATCTTTCTGGACTTTTGATCACATTTTAATATCAAGTCCCTTCCTATTTACATTACTTGTGGAATTTCACATACGAAATAAATTTTTTTATCGTTTTACAAGCTGTGTGTTACGGTTCAACCGTTGTTTAAGCTTAGGTGAATACCTAAGCGCATTGCTGAGGACTGTAGTGATAAGACTGTTGGTGAATAATAGATAAATCTAATATAAAAAGTGTTAACAACCAAAAGATCGAAGCAATGTGATAGCACAGTGAATGTGGGCAATGCGCGGCCGTGCGGTAATTCTTCGACCTAAGAAAAATGTACGAGCAACAAGATTCATAGATTGGACTGAATGTTATAGGTATATTGTGTTTGTGTTTTTGTTGTACTACTTGAGTCTATGACTATCTAGCACATTGGGCTCCTCTCTGACCCAGGCCATACCTTGTACAGTGCTCCTTGCCTCTCATATTATTCGAAAGATCATTGACATATTCCCCTTGATGAATATCCATTCAGCTCAGTGTTAACCTGTGGAATTCGACCACCTTTTCCACGGAACCTTCTACCCAAAAAAATAAAATGGTAGCAATGGAAACAGCTTGCGCTGGAAAAAGTCTCAAAAAACCTGCAGCGCCAGCCAGACGAGGCCTTGACACTAGGACCTCATGAGATGCGCGTAATCATTTACATCTCCCTTTAAATTGTGAATTTGATTTCATTTAACTTGATATTAGCCCTATTGTCCCATGCAGGCGGCTGTAAACTTGACTATACATATTTACATGAGGGAGAAATCTACCGATAATACTCCACGCGCCATCCTTTCCCTGCCCTAGCGTGCCGAGAAGTGATGATTTTGGTCTAGAATTCGACCCCGATGGTGATAATAGTTGTGGTGGTGGGGCTGGGGCTGGGGCTGGGACTGGGACTTGATTGCGCGGGCGTACTAGCCCTCCCTTGACGGAGAACAAGACTGAACACCTGTACGCAGTGTCCTCTACGAACCTGGGAATGAAATATTCTCCCAGAGCCAAGTTCAGTCAAATTTCGCAATGTCAGAGAAGTTGGTCCTCGAGGCAAAATTTCAAATTACTCCACCATGTCAATCTTTCACTCCCAAAGAGTCCGATTCTCAACTAAGCTTCATCAAGTCTACAAGTACGACCTATTACATCCTCATCCCAATGACAACACCTCTCGTCGACTTTCTCTAGCCTCAGTCGGTCACCAAATACACGCCCACGCCGATATTTATACCCGACGGAGGAAGCAAAGTGTGGAGCACAAATCTGGGAGATAGCTCTTTGGGATGGACGTGAGAGGGATTAGGACAAGTTCACAAGATGATACGAAGTAAAGATATTACCTCGAAAGGCGTGAATTTTGGCAAGAGTTTTGCGATTTGAGCTTTGTGCGTCAAGACTTCGCTTGCGAGAGTGCAGCTGAGACTATAAACACAAGCTGACGATGGAAGGTGTTGTGATCCGCCTCCTGGTGATGTTCTCTGGTATAGTTTGAGTAGCCTGGGCACCTACTCCACCTGGGAAGGAGACATCTCAGATTACATTTCGCGCGGAGAGAAGTTGATGGATGACGGAGGCATGTCTGGATAACTCAGGGTCTTTGAGACGTTCCCCTGGGTGGGTATTCACGGATGAGGGTTGACTTGGGGTGAGGAAAAAGCCACCATAACTTCGCATTAGTACTTGCAAACGAAATCCGAGGCTTGAGAGTTCCTCTTGTAAATTGAGTCATCTTTTCTGTACTTTTCTTTGATATTGTGTCATAGCTAGATAGCTGCATACGCAATTAAAATCTGATGCAAAAAAAAAAATGAACCCCTGGTCGTCTGTACATTTTACCGCTTCTGAGCCGGCAAAGACGAATTCTTCACCTTCCAGTGGTGCCGGTGTAATCGCCCAGTATGCTCTGCATATTTGGGATAGCCAAGAAGAATCGAAGTCGAAAGCAACCTCATACACATCTCCATTTGACAACTTCTCGACAATGCCTCTCTAATCATTATCATCTGAGTCCTCAACCCATCTCTAACCATGCATCATCTCGCCTCGCCGACCGATAAAAGTGTCACCCCAATTGGAAACAGGAGCTTGCCTCATTTATCACCGGTCATCACTCACTACAAATTTACGACGCTACTTATACCCGCAAGGAGCTAATTAAGTCATAATATACAAAGTTGGGGTCTTGGTTTATGAGGGACTGCTGCTCTAATGGGGTTATACATCTTGAGGAAGGCCAGGCGACTGGAGCGTGGAAAGATACAAGAGACCTCCCGGGGCAATAATGGGTCTGATATATTCGAGATATTTTCGACCTTGGAAAGTTTGTGTGCGTCAAGACCGACGTTTCGGCTAATTAGCCAGTGGACTTCAATCGTTGATGAGTCAACGGCACTCCCCAGCGCCCTGGACGGTACAAAAGGAGTTGGGCTAAGCT